CCTGTCTCTGCCTCTTCAGTGTTGGGGATTAAAGGCCTGCGCCACCACCGCTCCAAAACCTCTCACCTCAGCTTTGTGCTGCCACGATGCCCAGCTCTATTTTGGGTTTGTTTGTTTTTGTATTGTTTTGTCTTATTTGTTTGTTTGAGACAGGGTCCCATTCTGTAGCCCAAGCTAACCAGGTACTCAGCATGTAGTTGAGCTGGCCCAGCCTCAGTCTCTCAAGTGCTAGCATTCCAGGTAAATTCCAGGTAACAGCCTTGGTAAAGCTCCTTGAATGAACTAGTGGTGTCAAAGACAAGTTGTGGCGCCTAGCCAGCTTAGCTAAACCTAGATCATGGAGGCGAGGTCATGAACAGGGCTCACTCAAGTCCGGCTATCCTTGCTTCAGGGCCTGAGGTGTCCCATGACACATCTGGACTGAGGATGCTTCTGAGGGGTGTTGGCTAGTCAGGTGGGGAGGACAGGGGGATTGCAGGCCTTGCGAGTCCCCTCTCCAGTTTCAGGAGATTCCGGAACTGGTGGCGCGCTTTGATGGCCTGGTAGACACGCAGGCAGCATTGAAGCTGGCAGAGCGCAAGCGACAGGTGGAGCTGGACGAGACCCATGCTCAGCTGTATCGTCTTCGGGAAACGAAGCAGGATGAGCTGCTGCGCCTGGGCCAGCAGCGCGCACAGCTGCGAGAGCAGTTGGAGGCAGCGCGTGAGCGCACACTGCAATGGGTGAGCGTCCAGGGGCTGGAGTGGACACACCCGCTGCGCTAACCACAGGGTTGGGGCACCGCATTGCCAAGGGTACCAGATAGTGCTTGTTCCCGTCCCACAGAACACATGGGTGCACCCGTCGGGTGGTGCAGCCTCCAGGACCCCAGGACCAGGTCCTGATTCAAAAGCGATCTCTGCATGTGTGTTCTGTAGGAATCCAAGTGGACTCAAATCCAGAACACTGCAGCGGCCAAGACACTGCTCCTGGGACGCACTCGAATGGCTGTGCTCAACCTGTACCAGCTTGTGCGCCTGCGCCAGAGTCAGCCTCTAGCCCTGGACGTGGAGGACACCGAAGGGCAGCTAGAGGAGGTGAGGCTCTCAGTGTCGCTCCTTACCAAACACCCATTATTGGGACACCTCAGAGTTAAGGGTACTTTATGGGTGTGGGCTCCTTCTAGTGACTTCCTGGCCCCACACCCAGCTGCCTGGACTGTCACCACGACTGCCAGCGGATCTGTGTGCCCTTTGCATGGCTAGCCCATGAGTTGCCCTGGCTCTTGTGATGCACACATCAAGTCCAGGAGGGTCCCAGCGTCTTTGGCAGGGTCTCATACTTAAGCCCAGGCTTACCCCAGACTAGGTGGCAGATAACCTTGAACTCCTCACCCTCCAGCCTCCATCTTCTGAGTGCTGGGATCACAGGTGTGCTGTGCATCTGGTCTGGCTGAGTTAGTCCCTTTTGAGCATGCCTCTGCTCTGAGGAAGGCTTGGGGAAGGACGCTGGGCCTCTCCTGCCCACACTCCAGGCCAGGAATCAGGCTGCCCAGAGCACTGCTGGACTGTTGTCACCCGGCCCCACTGTCACTGCTATGCCCAGGGATGACTATTCTGCTCTTTCCTTCTTTGGTGCTGTCTCCTTAATATCGATCCAGGTGATGGACATGAAGAGGGTCCAGCAGGCTGCTGGGAGCTGCCCTCAGTTCACAGCAGGGGGCCTATGGGTGTCCGTTAAGTTCATAGAAATGACAATTAGCACAACATAAAGGTCGCCATGGAGATGGCTACAAACCAACAAACAAGCCTGATCCAAGGAAAGCACCACCTGACTTCGGTGGGACGCTGGGTTGGCAGGGAGCCGGCTGGAAACAGGCAAAGTGGTTACAAATCATTCAATGGCTGGGCATGGTGGCACACACCTTTAATCCCAGCACTCTGGAGGCAGAGGTAGATGGAGCTCTGGGAGTTTGAGGTCAGCCTGGTCTACAGAGTGAGCTCCAGGACAGCCAGCGCTACACAGAGAAATTCCGCCTCACAAACAAAATAATCAATTCAGTGGCATACACCTGTATTCCCAGGAGACTGAGGCAGGACTGCCACGAGTTAGAGACCAAGTTTGAGCTGTACTTGACAGGAAACAAAACAAACATTTGGGAGGCTGTACTGGACACCATCAATGCCTCTCCTGTGGTGTTTCCAGGCCCACCACTGCCCTCAGCCTCCCTGTGTGGGGTGGGGACAGGAAGTGATCTGGCCATGTCATCCCTGCCCCCAGGTGAAGCTGTTTATCATGGACCTCTCAGCCACACTGGCCAGCCTTGCCCAGGCTGAGCCCACAGTCGCTGTCTCCTAGTCCGGCCAGACGAGCAGCGAAGGGGACCTGAGGGACCAAGTTCCACATTTCTTGGTGTACAGGCTCAACGCAAGGGCTCTCTGAATACCCTTCCTCCTAGGCAAGATGGAGCTGTGCCAGCCCGTGCCGTTAGGAGACTTCCACAGGATACCCAACTAAGTAGACTACTGTCAGTGGGGCTGACAGCTGTGCTGGGCCCTTCACCCACCACACAGGCAGCGGGCTGGGAGCACAGACAAGCTTAGCCACGCTGATGTACTCCAAGATGGGCACTTACTAAGCAAAGTGGGTCCAAGCAATAAGTAGCTGTTGGTAGCATCAGCTCTTTGGGGTCAAAATGGTAGTCCCCCCAGTGTGTGCCTAGCCTGTGAGGTCCAGGTGCTGCGGGATGCTTCATCTTCCCAGACCCTCAAGCAAGAGGTGGGGAAAGCCACCCGTGGGAGGAAGGACAGAAGGATGGCACGGGCCGGTTCTCACCTTCACATGCAGAAGGGTAGTGCCGCCCCCAAAGCCTGCCTCCACCCTACAGCAGCCCTGAGCTATCTCAAGCAACCGCACCCAGAGACTCATTCTTCTCACCTCATCTCAGCTACTACGACAGCTGGGACCTGCAACCCTCCCTTCCAACACCCCAAGTAAACCACAGTCCTGGCTACTAGCGGTGTTCCACAAAGGTTTACTACATTAAAACCCAATGTCCAGCTGGAGACAGCCAGGGCCCACATCTGTATGGCCATGACTTCTGAACTCTGAATTCATAGAAGCAGTGGCAGCTGAGCTGCAGGTTCCGGGCTTCGTCTGCTGAGCTTTGCTAGTAGACTCCTATGCATCCTTCAGGACCCCACCCAACATCCTGTCAAAAGCAGCCTGTGCCTTCTGTGACCATACAGCACTGCTCCTCACAGACACTGGTTCCTGCAGGGACTCTGCCAACAGCACACGGCAGCTCCGCTCATGTCCACGCTAGGGCTACCAGGAAGCCAGGGGCTGAGTCTGGTTCCTTACATCCTCTTCCTCATCTTGCCCTTCCTGGAGGGGGCACCCCGGCCAAAGGCACCCTGGCGCAGCTCTTGGGCTCGGCGGCGGTTACGCGCTGAAAGCTGCTTCAGGCCCCCGCGCTGCAGGAAGCGCTGCTTCTGGGCTTGACGCCGCTGTTTCAGGATCTGTTCCTTGGTCTTGAGTTCTGAGCGCATGCGGCCTTTGGGGGCACCTCGGGGCAGGGACCCACCTGTCAGCGTGGAGATTTAGGGAGCTCAGCCTTTGACCCACAGAGTTTGAGCCAGGCTCCAATCCCACCCTGGCCAGAATTTAGAGGCCAAACCCCAGGTGACCTGGCACCCTGCCCAGTCCACATTTTCAGAGACAGTAACAACTCCCTAAGTATCACCTTAAGCCAAAACTGCCGCTGATGCCAGCTTTACAGAGGGACCTCCTGAACAGTGGCTGCCAACAGCTAAACATGGCCACCACAGAGATCTCATCCCAACCCGTGGAGACTGGCACTCCAGGTGGGAAGCGGTCAGACACCAGCTTCCACCTCTTTAGGTGGGCGCATGCCCCCCCCCCAACAGGGAACCACCCGTCCTCCACTCTGCCACTAGCTACCCCAGGTACCACCTGCTGAGTGGGAGAGGCCAGTGACCTTGGTCTGCTGGGTGGGGCTTTGCTAATGAGCAGAGTCTGTAGGTCCTAGCCTTGACCATGTTCACCCCTGCACCTCAGAGCGCCTGGCTCTCCCCCTATTCAGACCATACCACCTGCCCTGCCCACCTTGACTGTGCCCTCGCTTTCCACCTCTGCGGTGCCCAGGGCCTCGCTGGCTGGATGGCCCTTCTTCCTCAGAGTCCCGGTCATCAATTTTCTGCTTCTGCTTCCACTTCTGGTAGCTGAGAGCCTTGTTAAGGAAGTAACCCGCAGCATCCAAGCTGGGTGCAGGCCCCTTATAGAAGGTTGCTAGGGAAGCCGCCCAGCCCCACCCCTACACAAGCCCCTTCTATAGGTGTGGCAGCTATAAGCTGCCCCACCCTGCCCCTCCGCATCTCTGTCTGTCCCTTAGGATACAGGTCACGCTTGTAGGAGCTGCTGATATACTGGCCACTCTCGGTCTTGATCTTCTTCTTGTCCTCCTGGCCTGACTGCCCCACAAACCGCTTCTTCTTCCGGTCCCTGAGGGGGAGGGAGATGGAGTCTACTGCAGGGGAGCCTGTTCCTTCACCTGCCCCTCACAGGTATGTAACCAGCAGAGGATTAAAGGAGTCACATTTGCCTACACAGGACACTCAAAGTTCCTCGACCACCTCTCCACCTTTCCTGGACAGCCCAGGTCTCAAAAAGAGAGTGAGGCTTGAGGACTTGGGGTCTGATCCCACACTGCTTCCCACCTCTGTTTGGGAAGCAGCATCAGAGTCCTCATGGGCATAGCAAGGAAATACCAGCTACCAAACACAGTGGACCAAGGAGATGGGCAGGCAAGGAGCCACCACTCCGCTCTGAGCAAACGGAAACACAGAAGGCCGCACCCAGGGACGGCCTGGCAAGGCTGCTCACTTACCACCTGAGCTGCTGATGACCTCGGGTCATGTTCTGTGCCTCGTCCCCCATCAGGTCAAGGACCGCACCAGCCACCTGCTGCTCAAAGGCCCCTCTAGCCTCACCGACACTCAGCCTGCAGATTCAAGAGGGAGATTTAATGGGACCAGATGCTCCTTATGCACCTCACGCTGGGCCACAAGCTCATACTCACCCCCGCTCACTGTCGAAATCCTTGGGCCGGTAGGGGACATAAAACTCCTGGTCTCGCTGACGAGCCTCCTCCCTCCGCCTCTTGGCTCCTTGGTTGGGTCCTGGCTTTGGTCGCTTCTGGCCCACAACTTCTGTGAAGACATCCTGGCAGACAGAAGCCCAGTGTCATCCTTGTGGCCTCAGGGAACCCCACTAGAACCAGGGACCAGGAAAACTCTCCTGGTAGACCCTATGTCGTCATCTGCACACACAAGAGCCCGATTTGGAGAGCAGTGCAGGCAGGAGGGGCAGAACAGAGCCAGCAATGGCACCGTGCTCCAGTACTCGGGTCTGGCTGCTTCTGTTCAAGAGGATGCACACAGGGGTTTGTGGCTGTCCGCGAGACAGCGGAGATAGAGTGGGTGTCTATGAGGAGCCATTCCACCACCCTCCAGCACCACTGCTGGGGCTTTGCTCCCTTCAGGCCCTCAGGCTGTCCTGCTTAGCCACAGCCCAAACTGTAACAGCTGGGAAAGGGACTCTTTCTTCTTTTTTCAGATTTTATTTTCAGTTTTAGTTGTGTGTGTGTGTGTGTGTGTGTGTGTGTGTGTGTGTGCGCGCGCGCGCGCTAGATTCCCTGGAACTGGAGTTACAGGCAGTTGTGAACCACTACTGTGGGTACTGACAACTGAACTCCAATCCCCTGCAGGAGCAGTAGGGCTCTTTTCTTGTTTTTTTTGACACAGGTTCTCAGTATATGGATTTGCTATTTACAGGCTGGTCCTGAACCCACAGAGATCCGTCTGCCTCTGCCTCCCCAGCACTGGGATTAAAGGTGTGCGCTGACATACTCCACACAGCATAGCTCTTAACTGTTGAGCCAGTTCTGCAGCCCCTTCCTTTGGTTATCCAAGCTCTGTAGCCTAGGCTAGCCTAAGACAGTATCACTCTGTAGCCTAGGCTAGCTTTGAACTTGTGGCTGTCCTACATCCTTAGTCTCCACACCCATCTCCTACAGACTGTAAGTTGAGACTGTGCCCCACTTCCATTGACAAGAGAGATGAGGACACGGGGCTGCACAACTGCCTGCCCCAAGGACTACTGGAACCTGGCTGCTCTCCCTCAGCTCCAGCTGCCCCTGCAGCGCACACCTCCACATTCTCAGCCATGTCCTCCTCCTCCTCTTCCTTCTGAGGCAGCTCCTTCTGGGGGGCTGGGTCAGCTGGGCGCTCCTGCCTCTCTTGCCGCCCCTGCTGGAAGCTGGCGATAGCTTTTCGGTCCCTCTGCCGCTTGGCACGCATCATCTGGCTGCTTGGGTCTCGGCTTGAGGCATTGATCTCAAAGATGGTCTGCAAAAAGGATGCCATATTCACTGCTTACGCCCCCACCCCAGCCCCACCCTATGCCAGCTGAGACCTGTATGGGCACTCCTCAAGTCTTTACTGTGGGAGGTGGGACCCTTGATATTAGTGCTGCACAGTTAGAGGGAGGCCCAGAGAGAGTGGGTGTCTTGTCCAAGGCCACACAGCTAGGAAAAGCTAGAACCCAGACCTCACACTAAGTGCACTTGGCTTTGAAATCCTTGATTCCTCTGTGCCACTCTGTGGCTGTTTGTGTTACTCGCCACCTGGCTGGGCTCTCCTTGCCTCTGCACATGAACCACACAGCATACGCCCACCCATGGACACCCAGGAGTGAACAGGTAGGGAAGGTCAAGATTGGGGATGGATGGTTCTTCAGGCCTCGGAAAGGTAGAAAACACACCACTCCCTAAAGAGGAGTTAATCTGTCTTGAGTGGTGGTCAAAGGAACGCTCCGGAACAGGTGTGTGTGTGGGGTCTACGAGTGGCCACCAGAGCCAGTGGGACACGTCAGGAAGCGCAGAAGGAAGACTCACCGTGCGGGTGTGATAGTTCCTGATGCTGTCCACCAGCTGCAGGCGCTGCAGTTCTCCCTCCTCAAACCGGGAACCTGACAGAGAGGAAGTGTGTGAGGACAGGGTGGGCTGGGAGGGGCCAATCCACCCTCACCTGCTCCACCCTGCAGAATCTCACTGAAGAGTGGGTGCAAGCCCAGCCCTGTCAGGTCCAGCTCCTTGGCTCTCTTGATGGACTCGGGTGAGGGCGCTGGACGTGAGCGCACATACTGCTGCTGGGCGTTGTCGGCCACACGATGCAGGCTCCGAAGTTCCAGGGACGCCTCCAGGGCAGTCTGTAGGCCGCTGTCCTCATCATCCACCACACTCTGTGGCACCCGGCCCAGCACACCATCTCCACCAACTGCACCTGCCAGTCACAGGGCACACTGAGGAGTCAGCCTGTGCCTATCCCCCCATGGCCTCTGAACCCCAGGACAACGGTTACAGCAATAGGGACATTTAGTGTGCCATGTTCAGTCAGACCCTGGGATGCACAGGAACACAGACAGACCCTAATTCTGGCAACGACAGTCCAAGAACAGTCCCAGGGTCCAAGGCCACCCACACAGACGCTTGTGGCTATCTCCAAGAACGAGGTGGGCAGAATCTCCTATAGTCAGATCCAGCAGCCACCTCCCAAAGCCAGACCACTGCACCCCTGTGTGCTTAGGAATTCCACAGAGACCCGAGCCCTGCCCAGCCACCCCTCACCTGAGGACTCCTGGTGAGGCTGGGCAAGGGTGATGGAGCGGCCCAGGAACAGGTGCAGGTCAAGCAGGTAGGGAACCTCATCTGGAGCCACCAAGGAATAGGCTGTGCCACTTCGACCCGCTCGGGCCACACGGCCTGGAAAGGAGGGGGCTGAGTTTTAGCAGAGGGATCCCAACTCTATAGGCCAGGACCTTTCCTGAACTGCGTCCCCACCTACAGGGTGGGTGG